CTCTCTCTCTCTCTCTCTCTCTCTTTCCTATCTTCCCAATAGAAAGAAGAACAAAGCAATCTCCGAGAGAAGGTGTAAAATGGTCTCCTCCACTGATTAGTAGGAGACAAAAATAAAAAGTATCAATAAGACTAATTACATCTATCTCATCTTATGCATTATTTTCCGTTTAGTTTATAGATCTGGAGTCTATTACGTTTAACTAAGATTTACCCCTTCATTGTTTCTATTGATTCAATCGAAAAGGTTTCGATATCTTTTTGGTCAAACACTTATCACCTCTAGCTTGTTATTACTCCTCTCTTCCGCTCCTATTTATGTGTCACACTTTTATATTTAGACTGTTCCAAAAAGAATAGTATTTCTTCATTTAGAAATAAAACTTTAAATTTCTTATTTAATCTTTAGTGAAGAAATCAGAAGCGAAACCAGGATATGAAGTTTATGGTTTCGGCATTCTAATCTTTTTAAGTTGATGGGTTCTATATAATTAGTTTGTGTTCAATCCAATGGACTTTTAAGATATATACAAGATTTGAACCAAAATTATTGAGTTCGGCTAAACCCGTAACTAAAAGGCTAGCTTCGCCACCGAATGAAATATAACACATGTCAATGGCTTATTTAAAAGACTACAAATTTCAAAAAGTCTCTCTTGAACAATGTGTAAAGTCCATATTCACATAAAATGGAAAGAAAGCACTAATTTACTCTATTATGTTCTAAATTTTGTCAAATATGATGAAGCGAAACAAGACGTAAATCATGTCCCAAAAACAAAACTAGTCGAGACTAGAGTAATTGTCAATAGAAACGAAACCAGTAGTTTGATTATGATTATTTTGTATACTATCGTCGTTATTGGCATACTATTTTGATTAATTATAAGTTGACAAAAAAGAAAGTATTAACGCTGCAGGCTTGATGGATACTTCAATAGGAAAAGAGACTTGGCTAGCAGAACTCTCTTTTAATTAGGAGTTTCGGACAAGGGAGAGGAATACATGTAAAGACAAATCAAATACCACATAATATAACTAAAATTTAACATTAACATTAGTAGCACTACTTTGTAGTTAGGGCCTGATCTGAAATTAGGCTCCCTTAATAGTTCGTACAGACGTTAGGAAGAGATTTAATCGTTCCAACGTAATAACTTCAATCGATAGAAAACCTAAAACACTAATCTAAGGGGAATTAAAGAAGAAATTAAAAGCTAAAAGCAGCCATTCCGGCCCTTCTTTTCTTGTAATTAGCCTTAAAACAGGTTTGACGCAGCTTCTTGGTTCTTTCAGTTAGCTCCATTTCAGGTACTTTCTCTAGCATTCTTTGGTGCTCTTCTAGCATCTCTACTTCACTTGTCAGTCCCATTTCCTGCATTAATTAAATATGATATCACTACTAAAAATCACATGTTTACCGACGCAATTTACCGATAGATGTCCGTCGGTAACAAGGCTTTACCGACAGAAGTCGGTCAGTAAGTGGTTGGTAGGTAAATCCTTCCTCGGTAAAATGTACCGACAAAATCCATTAGTAAATTACCGACGGACCCCATCGGAAAGCCATCGGTACATTTCTGATAGCAGTTGGTCAAATAATTTATTGGTATATACCAAACAACCAATAATTAACTTAATAAACCACAAATTAACTCTTAATTAGTACAAAAACTTTATTAGTATTAACACGTACCTTAACGCTATCAATGAGAGTCTGCAAACTCTTAATCTTACGATGAGGCCATCGCATGATATTAAGTTCCCTACATCTTTTCTTCAACACTGTCAATCCAACTCTCAACTCCTTGGCTGCTTTGTTTATTGGTACATGAAAATACCTCTGTATCTCATCCAATTCTAAGGTATCACTCTTCTTATGCCTTCCATTATTATTTCGCTTCCTAATTAACTCCTTATTATTAGTTCCACTGCTAAATTCTATTTCTCCAACTGTATAGTCGTAGTAGTTCTTATCCTGCATATGAACTTCATTTCGAGCACTTGTCACGTTTTGACATTCCTCTAAAGGACTAAATGTCATGTTCTGCGGAATGTCTTCTTGAAATGGAGGTAGTCTGACGTCTAACGTGCCCAAATCTTGACATATTTCTTCCAACTCTTTAAGCTCAAAAAATGGTAAATTATTGTTTTGAAGATCGTTGGGAAATTGAAAGGGATCAAAGTACTCAAAGTTGAATAAACCTCCATTGGACAATATTCTTGAATCTTGTTGTTGCCATGTTCTATCCAAAAACAAGAAAAACACAAAAGAATACATAAATGTTAGTCGATACAATATGTATATTAAAGACCTATATTTAGTTCTTTCTTTTCCTTAAACACAAATTTGCATGCATATTGATGCTTTGAAATTTTTCTCACCAATATTGCACCTCAATATAAATCAAGATCATAACAACTAACTTGTTTTATGTTACTTACCCGAAAGGGGGAGGAGCGTGTTCTGAATATAACCAATCGAATTGATCATTTTGGTTTTCCAGCGTTAGAACATGAGAATCCATAATTGGAAAAATTTAGGGGAGATGGCGGCTGAAGAGAGAGTCAAGAAATTGAAAAGGCCAGCGGGGGTATATAAATTGGAATTAGAGGGAGAATAAATGAGTGATAAATAAATTGGAGTTCGTGCGAGTGGATTATGGGAGTTACAATGTATAGAAATTATGGGTTCTAATTAATGACCACGGGTTTTACATATGAATTAGTGTAGAAAAGAAAATGCGCTATTTATTGTACGTTGATATGATTAATTGTGGGACACGAATGTCTTCATCCTAAAATACATCTACATACATTTATTGTGTGCTTTATATGTGTGTTTACACTAGCAATACATGCATGCATTGGTTATGTAAATGTGATTTACACTTCTATTGGACCAGGAAAAAAATTGTCCACAACGTAAAAAAAAAAAAAAAAGAGTTAAACGTACATATACCGTGAAATATCTACCACTAAAATGTATATATACACCGTGAAATATCAGTGCAAATTAAATAAATTACACTATCAGGTTACCTAATTAATGATATCTACAACTTAAAATGTGGGATTTGTAATCTTGAATATGATAGATTACATCTTACAACATGTGAAGATGATGTGATTCTATAAAAATTCCTTATTTGATGTATATAGCTTAAATTTTCAAAAAAAAATATTATAACAGCATATATGTCGTCTACATTAAGTCTAACTTGTTTGTCTAGAAAATAAATAAATAAATTGCTTTAATAGGTAAAAATAAACTGATAGTGTAAGAAAACATTAAGTTACGAGTCTATTCAAATTAAATCCTTACTTCTATTATGGTAATTCTAAAAATTAGACTGCCGAAGATTCTTCTTAATTTGGATGGGTCGTAATGAACTTATCCTAATTGGTAATTGATGTATGAATATGAGTGCATGGTCAAAAGTATTGGGATTTACGTAGATGGAAGTTACAAATACAATTAATTAATCAAGTGTGAGGAGACTATATTATTAGGAATAAGGAACACAATGAATGGACTCAAATGCGTTCACAAAAACATTTAAGTTCATCCGTACAGCTTGGTTTTAGGGTTTTTTCATGGGTTTTTTTCTCTAATCCAATTAATCCTATGAGTTATATCTGAAACTCTTTCACTGATAAGCCCATACTTTGGAGCTTGGCCCAAACCCAGATTTTGTATGGGCTCTCTCCCTCTCTCCCCCTCTCTCTCTCTCTCGCGTTTTTTTTTTTTGCGAAAATGACATTGTATAGTCGCTC